AAGCACTATGGGCAGTCTATCTGAAGTGTACCTGGCGTATAAGACGACCCCCCACTTGGAGGCATATTTTTCAGGGCCAAAAAATCGTCTTATATGCCGGCAAAATACGGTAACTGGGGGAGGATACCCAACAGCTCCCATTTGCTACTACAATAATCACTACTTAACTCTGATATTCTAAAAGCGGTTTCCAAAAGGCATTTAATTATAACTGAAGTGCTTTTATTCTTTGCTGCAGCCAAACCAACCTAAAATTTCCCATGAAAGACATGGCTAGTTCTGATCTCCACTCTCAATTTGTGAGGTGCTGTACCTACTGCCCTACCACCTTCCAAACAAGGCTGAACTTTCACCTGTAATTGCTAACATTTATTCAAGATCCTGAGCCAGGCATTACTCTCCAAGTATTTGTTCATTTAAGCCTAACAATCCTAACGTAAGCACTGTTATCCCTCCTATAAGAGGAAAGCCTTCTCAGACAGTGCCCACAGCCCCAGGGATACTCTTCACTGTAAAATCTCTCAGCAGTGGCCAAGAAATTAAATAAAGGTATTTATTACCTATAAGCATTAGAATTGTTCATTTTTAGGAAGCATCTTTTTAGTGCCTAACACAACAACAACTGAAATCCTGACCACTAACCTCTCCCCCTCATTTTAAGTCAGTGCTCTCACTAGGTTTCTGGTCACCACATACAAACTCAAGTTATCTTAGAGTAGGGCATTTATGTTAAAGCAATGAAGTTTTCTTTTTCAGGCCCCAACATTACCAATACACGATTTGTATTATTAAAATGAGTTTAAGTGCTTGCTCTGTCAAGTACAATACAGCTAATTAACCTATGCTATGAGAAAGGAACAATTTTGAAGTTTTCTTCTTTAGTGATGCCACTGATATCTGTAAGGAAAAGACTCATGGCCACTTAATTTTTGTGAGTTCATATGTTTTGTGAGTTCAAATAACACTAAGACACAGGATAACTGTTTCTTGCTATCAAAATTTCTATCTTTAATTCAAACATTAGTACTATGTGCCAAGCAACTAAGTTTTGAGGATACGGGAAAAAAATCTCCAGAGAAACACTGCCATACTAAGGACATTAACCACTAACCACTACTGTGAGAGTCTATGCTTTTTTCACCTTTATGTTGCTAACTGGGGATTAAATCTCCAAAGCTGTAATATTCATTTTCATGACCAGTTCGAGTGTCTTTTAAGGCATTCAAAAAGAAACCTTGACTGTCTTTCCTCTTTTCAACGAAAAAGAAAAAAAAAAAATTCCAAAAACAAAAACTATTATCTTTTAAAATACTCAGGGTTTTTTTGTTGCTGTTGCTAACATATCATTTATAGTTTGGGTTCCTAACAAGAGACCCGTGTTTAAAACCAGGTCTTTTCAGTTATGCTATATACACAGTCTGTAACTTTCTTACACATGACTATATCAATCATCCAAATTTCCCAGTACATTGTTAATGAGTATTTTCACTACTGCCCACTGGCCTATTCATTGTTTTATGCAAGTGACTGGCAGTCAACTGTAGTTGTGAAGAACATGAGCTTTATATACAAATCTCCAAAAAGCAGTGCCAACACTTAATTAAAATCCAATGTAACATTTACTCTAAAATCATCCAAACCACATAGGAAAACTCTAGAAATGTTACTGTTAGAAATATATTTGTTTAATCTTCCTCCATTTTTTAAAAATGACCTGATAAGTATATTCTAATGGTTAAATTTGTGGACTTGTCATCTCAACTATTAACATCATAACCACGGTATGTCACTAAACAGCTGGGCCTAGTCATCTTGAAAGCATATAATATAAAATTCACATTAAAGCACATGTTCTACCCATAAACATGTTTCAAAAACTTTTTTTTTTAACGAGAAGCTGCTGTATATTAAGTATTGAATACAAGTCTTGAAGGAGTAGGAATACCCTTCTGGGCTAGTACACTCTTACTCTAATGGAAAAGAAGTTATTAGTTGTACTTTATCCACTTAGTATGATGATATTTAGGCGGTAGTAAGAAACAGAATGATTCCGAAGTAATTAAAAAGTTTTAAACACGTGTCTAAAAAGTTACTTCCGGGGTAATAAAAACGCTGCCACACGAATTTCCCCTTAGCATTGCCAGAGTACACCATCCACATGGTTCTCCGCTAGGCGGAAAGCTCCGGCCTAGCCCTGCAGAGGCCCAGGGGAAGCCAGGGAGGCGAGTCCACTCCGCAGCCCACCCCTCCAGGGGGCGGGGCCGGCGCGCCAATCACGTGGACGGTGCTGGCCGCCATCTTGCAGGGGGAGGGGAGGAGCCACGCGGGACAGTCCCCTAATCGTCCCCTGCTTGTCCAGTTGCGCGTGACCGCGGGGCCCTCCCGCGAGCCGCAGGGCTAACGCGCGAGATCGGGAGCCTCCCTGCAGGTGAGCATTCCTGCCCCAGGAGCGTCAGCGGCACAAGGTCGAGGAACAGCTGGGTTGTACTACAGCAAATAGGGACTGAAATCGATCCACCCCCACCCGCAGCCTCTGGAGTGCCAGCCTGGGAGCAACAAGATCCGTGGAAATGTCTTCGAGGCCATAACATGCCATTGCTGGGGGACCCGGAGAACATGCTAATAAGTAGAAAATGCGGGGTCGTTAAGAATTTAATGAGACACAAATGATTTGTTATGGTAACCCTAAACAACTACTGGAGAAAAAAGTAGCACACACAAGTGTCTAGAAATAGCCTTCAGCGTCACCTGAACTACGTGTCTATCCTAACTCACGGCCACAGCACAGGGCACTGCCTGAGAAGGAACGAGGTGCTGAAACTCGTGGCAGCACGCCCGGCTTCACTTTGTCCACTCCTTCCAGCACCCACTGGTTGCCAGAAAAGGCCACACACTGCAGTCAAGATAAAAATCTCATTACTCTGGTTTGCACGCATCTTCCCCTTGTCTACCTGTCTTCCAACACTCGTATTACAAATAAAATTTAAAGGGAAAAAGGGGAAAGGAAAAGACTCCTAGCAGTTAAATCAGAAATTGGTTAACCTTGTTGTAATATAATGGTTCCATTGTGCCATTTTCATTATACTTACAGTCTAAGGTTATCTTTACAATATATGCTATAACAAGAAAAAATTTAAAAATATAAGTATTGCTGCTGAGTTCAGGATTTCTTCTCCAAATTTAATGGCAGTGGCATACAGGACTTCTAGGAATTATTTTAGTAAATGGACTGAAAAATTGAAAGGGCTTTTTTGGTTTTTTTTTTTACCATCATTATACATTTGCACGCTAGTAGTAAACATTGTAAGATAAAATTAAAAGCTCACCAAGAAAATACTGGGTACTAGGCATTACTACATCTGAGTTTGTCCTAAAATGTGAGTCACTACACAGAAGCCTTGTTTTTAAAAGGAAGGCCTCAACCTAGATTACCTCTAAAATCCCTTCCAGCCCCCAATTCCTTGCTTCTATGGGAATGGAGTCCACATAGTCACTAGATAAACACAATGTCCGGTTTTAGTTCCAGGGTATTGAATGACAGCAGATATATATGAGTTGAACTACCTTTCAAACAAGGTGGGGAAATCCCCTTTCCCAAATATATCATCCTGGAAATCACCAAGTTGAAAAATATGGCATCCATATAATACCTTTTAAATAACTGTGAACCATGATAATAGACTCCGATTGTACCATAGTTTTTACTCTTAACTGAAGCCTATTCCCCTCGCCTCCATTAAACTGTCATGCTCAAGACTTTATATGGGGCCTATATCATTAAATTGCTTTCATGGCTCTATAAAAATTTCATCTTTAATGTTTGCGACAAGTGACTCATCTGGACTCCTGTATACTACATTTTGGGGTTTAATAACTTTTTAGAAAACAATACTTATGCCTATAGTAAAGGCCCAACAAATGTCCCTGGACCCAAACCTGGAGGCATGACTCAAGCCGTTAGAAAGCAGGTTACACCAGAGGTAAAGGCATAACAAGCCCGCCCTAAGAGAGGCTCCTTACCCAGACAACCTGCGCTACTACTTAACTAATTTGAGTCAATTCTCAAGTCTCCACTTCAGGTTTCTTCAGGAAGTCAAGTTCTCTAAGCAGGAGCCAAAAGACCCTTACGACCTCTTCTAACTCAGGCACACAGCAAAAAAAACCCCACAAAAACCAAAAAACCCCTTTGTGCCAAAGACAGGGCAGCACGCCGGGCGCGCACCTTGGGTCATCTGGTCGAGGGCTAAGGCAGAGCATGGCAACGTGCAAGCGGAACGCCAGACAAGAAAGGGAAGGCGATGCCCGCGGCCAGGCTGCGGCTCACACCGGCTCCTCTGGCACTTCGCCTTTCCCAGCACCTAGGGCTCGACAGATGCTCAAAGCCAAAAAGGTCCCGAGCCCCTTCATCCGACAGGGGGACCCGGGCTGAGAGCTCCATTTTTTCCGTGGCAACTCCGGCACGGAAGAGACTTCTAGAGCATTCTGTTATGGCGGGTGGCTGTGTGTGCGGGGGAGGGGGGAGCCACGGTGAGGGGCGGAGTGGAATTGAGCTGCTCAGCAAAAGGAAATCAGTACTACGGGGCTGGGAGCGCGGGGTGGGCATTCCGAGCCACCTGCGCCGAGGGTCAGGCTCGGCCAAGGGGTGTCCGACAGCCAGGCCGGGGAGGCCACAGGGGCGGTAATCGCCCCACGGGGGCGGGAGGCTCGCACGCCCTACCTGGGCTCTGGGGCCCGCAAAGTTGCACCGCTCCACCTCCGTGTCTTCCGGGCCCCCGCGGAGCGCGCTGCGGAGCCTCTCCAAGTGCTCCCTCAGGGTGACCCGCTGGTGGAAAGAGAACGCCGGGTGCAGCGAAGCCATGGTGAAGAGCAGCAGCAGTTCCTCCTGGGCCCTGAAGCCCAGCTCGTCGCCCGCCCGGGGCTCAGCGCCGCTGCCTTCTGGTCCGGAGCCGTCCTTCTCAGCGTCCTCCTCCCCGTCGCCGCCCTCGTCCTCTGCGCCGCCCCGCGAGCCCTCGCCCCGGGCCGCGCGCAGGCTCTTGAGCACCGAGTCCACCTGGGGCAGGAGACGGTGCAGGCGGCCGGCGGCCTCACGGTTCTCGGAGCCCAGCAGCGCCAGGTAGACGATGAGGCGCGAGCGTACGGCGGGCTCTCGGAAGTCCGCCAGCGGACCCGGGTCCGAGAGACCGTTGGCCTTGGCCTCCGAGTCGCGCAGATAGTGGTAATCCTTGCGCGCCAGGTCCTCCAGGCACGAGCCGAGGAAGCGCAGCTCCAGCGGGTTGCACAAGTCCAGCAGCCCGCACATGAACTCCAGGCGCTGCGCCGAGCCGAGCACCAATCCGAACCACTCGTACACCCGCTCCTGCTCACGCAGCGCCGCCGCGGGCCCGGAGCCGCCCTGCATGCCCGGCCCTGCCGTCGCTCCGCCAGCAACAGGCGGCCCGAGCCCCCGGGGCGGCGGCGGCGGGTGTCCTCGCGGCGGGCCCGCGGGCGGTGGCGGCGGGGGGCGGCAGTCGCGGCGACGGCGCGGTGGCGCCTTAGCGCCCGGCCGCGCGTCCGCCTCGGGTTCCTCCGCCTCGGGCGGCGGCTCCGCGGGGTGCGTCGGCTTCAGCGGCAGCTTCATCCTCAGCATCCTCGGCTAAGGCGGCGCGGACATGCGAGCGGGAAGGGCTGGGAGGAGGGGCGGGGGCCGAGGCGGCGGCGCAGCCGTCAAAAGCGGGGTTCCTCCATGCCGCCAGGGGAGGCCAGGGCCAGGGGCGGGTCTCCGCCGGAGAGGGGGGCGGCGGCCGGCCGAGGAGGTCGCTGGCGTCTTCTTCCCTGGCCGGAGGCGGGGCGTGCCCGCGGCGGCTCCTCCCTCTGGGCTCTGCGCTGGCTCTGGGAGCCCTGGTGCGGGTGGGAGTGAGCAAGCGTGTCCTCCTTCCGCCTTCCTCTCTCCTGTCGTCCTTACTGGGCTGGGGCGGCGGCGCCGGAGAGATTCCCTCGCGAGCTGGTGCAGACCAAGCGACTAGGAGAAGAGGAGGAGCGGCCGTGCTGGGCGGAGACGCTTGCTGACTCCGCGCAGGCGCTTCAGCCAATCAGCGGCCTGAGTCGGCGGTTGCGTAGGTCTCCCCGCCCTCAGGGGCCGTCTCTCTCTGAAAGCCACGCCCAGCTCCTGCCCGGCCGCCTCCCTTCGTTGGATTCCGCGCGGTCTTAAAGTCTGCTAGTTAGCAGCTGGGGGGTGGACGTCGGCGGGGCGCTGGGGCGGCGGGGCGGCGGGGCGCTGGGGCGGCGGCTAGGTGAGCTGGAGCGCAGCGAGGAGCGTGTGAGGCCCACGTGAGAAGAGGGAAGTGGGGAATTCCACCTTTTCCACGGGCCCTAGCCCCCCTTTTGACAACTGACTCCCCTGCTTGGACCACCGCACCATGTCCGCCTGCACCACCCGGCTCTGAAGTGAGCGTCCTAAGCCTAAAATGAGCTCTTTCAGTCCTTCACAGCCTGGCCGACCTCCTGGAAGTCAGCATTGAGATTATTCCCACCACAACTTGACAAGGATCTGTTGTGTGGACTCTGTGTTGCGGGACGCAGAACTGGGGCGGGAGGAAGGGTTGTGGCCGTGGTTGGGGCGCCCGGACGCCTCAATCCTGAGCGAGCGCCCACGCCCAGTGCGGGCTGCACGGTGCAAAGGTGGGGACGTGCGGCCCGGAGAGGCGCAGAGGCGACCCAAACTGAGGGAGTTCCACGGCTTCGGCGCCGAGGAGGGACACGCTGGTGTGGCCGCCCTAACGGTTGCTTCTGGTCTATAACGCTCTTTGGAAATTATTCCCAGGACAGTTTAGCAAAAGCCTCCCCCAACCCCTCCATCTTTTGGGAATCATTTTATTACCTAAGTAACCTTTCTGTGCCGGACACATTTTGAATCCTTGGACCGGTGTGAATGCCCTGTGACTCGAGGAACGGAATAAACTACCACCTTGACAGGCTTTCAACTTTTTAAAGAAGTTTTGCTACATTTTTAAGATTTGAAGATCTCCAAAATACATCACTGGAACCGCTGCTTTATTATTATTTTTTTTTTAATTTAAGCAATATAGTCCAAAATTTAAGCCCCAGCTGTATCTTTCAAGGGTTAATTTTAAAAGGGGTTTTGTTTGCTTTTTTTAACCATTAAGGTTTAAATTAAGAACTCCTACTAGAGCTACATAGTAGGACTATGTATATAAAAAAAATAAGAATCACATTGTAACACTTTCCGAATAAACTGGGACATCTTGTTGGGAGAGCATACACTGAGCCCTCTTATCTCACAACTTTATGCCCTAAGAAGCTAATTTATAATTCATTAAAAGGCTGGACTGAAGCCTAAATCAGTTTCATTGATAAAATGGGGAGACAGAATTATTTTCAACACATTTGAAATTGTCAAAATATATGAAAGCCATTCTTTCACATAATTTGCTATTTCCTTGCATTCTTTGGGCGTAATGTAGAAATCCTTACAAACAGGAGAAAATTGTATAAGGACTTGTAGTAACACTCCTTACCCCTCTTGCTAGCAACTTCAACTGGAAATTCTACCCTATCTAATCTCCTGTCCCCACATTTCTAAAGCTTAGGGTGAAATACTTTAGGTAACTAATAATATTACTCTTGCTAGATATTTACAGGTCCATGGTGAGTCACCTGTCTAGATTGGGATATTTTGTGTAATAAGCTAATATTTTACCTCTGAGTTGATTTCTACATGTGACCCATGCAATGAGGCCGTAAGAAACCATTGGTATGAACACTCCACAAAACTTGATCCATAAACTTTATGTCAGAATTCATATTTGTGTTCAACAACACCTTTCGTACTTCTGTCCATCGCCAATATTAGAAAACGCAGTGATCAAAGCTCCTACATATACATGACATATATACGTGATTTTATTATTTTGATTATCATCTATCAGTTGGACAATTTGCTCTGTATCCCACAACACATGGTTTCAGAGCCCTTTCTCCGTACTGCAACTAACTAAACGGGCCTCAATGTTTTTCCCACCCTAAGAGTGATGATGTACTACTGCTGTGCTTTTCCGGGAGGGGCCCTGATGGAAATTTCGGGTTAGTTGTAGGTGTTTAGTTGGGAAAAATCACCCAGATGGTTCTAGTAAGATGTCCTAGGAAGGTATTCCTCCGAATTGGCCCACCTATATATTTCCTGTATCATCATTCAGATAGACCAGATAGCGTTATTGTGGTAATAATGATGGGTGGTGTATGTTTATATCCAAATCTTTCATAAAAATATATATCCCATAAGGGACATCTTTAAGGACACAAAGTACTATTGTCTCTTGTCCCTGGATGACATTTAATACATATTCAATATACTTGGTTTTATTTGACTCTTTACCAATGAAAGATGTTATTATGGACATTACTATCCAAATATTTATATGTAGCCAGAAGACTGATTTCAAGTTAAGGCTGTACCTTGGATTAAGGGACTAGCCAGTGATTGGGGATTGAGGAGACCTTCCCTTCTGCAATTGGGTTGCTGCAAGGAAGTACACTAAAACCACAGTTAATTGGATAGTTCAGAGCAGACTAATCATGATATCAACTCCATGAAAAGGATACCCAGATACAGCCACTCTACCTCCTGGAGCAGCCAATCAGATCCATACCAAGAATTTATTCTCCCAGTCTTTGTGAATATTGACCCTTTGCTGTGACACCTCCCTGTGAGTTTCCTCCATTAGAATATAAATATCTTCACGTCCGTCAGTGATCATGTCTTAATTTTATATTTTGACATCCAGAACACAGATATTGATAAATATTTGCTGAATAAATGAATGAATAACACTGCAGGAAACAAAAGTAACTGGCAACAGATCCTGGGTCACGTGAATCCTTGTTTATATCTAGCAGGGAAGAGAAACCATCTGTGTTAAAACCCGGACTAGGCCTGAGATGCATTCTAACTGAACCGGCTTAGATCACATGCCCATTCCTCGTCATTCACCGGAACCAGAGAAGTGGAGTCAGCTTCTTCAGAACCATGTGTGTCCCTCACCAAAAATCCAGGGCTGTCAGAAAGGAGGAAGGCAAACAGATGATGGTGACACAACCAACATGGGATACCATTGTACTCACAATCTGTTGTTTTGATCACTTAAATTGTCATGGGTTTAAGCTACCTCAAATTTCTTTTGTTTTTTAGATCCCATATTTTTGTTTAGTTAGATCATGAATTTAAGAGAGATATTAAATATTAAATTGTTTTTAAAGATTACAGTTTAAAAAGCTGCTCTAAAGGTCTTACAAACAGCACAGGTAAATTTTTCATTGATATACAACTTAAGGAAAAAATTAATTGCATATTTAAATTTTTAAAAAGCTTTTTGTAAGGTTTACAAAAACACCCTGCGAGACAGATTTGAGATAGGAAGAAATCACTGGTACTGATGTTGTGACAGTATTCCTATTGATAAGTCTGGAATCCATGCCCAACACTGTGGGGTATGCCACCTCTTCTGGAAGACTAGTGTTGGCTTAAATTCAGAGTCTCCCTGGAATTGTGGTTTCCTTTGTCAGAAGGGTTCCTAAGGACTTAGATTGACCAGGCTGTCCACATCCTCCCACTTACACATTCAACTTTTGGAGAAACCCTGAAATCCACCAAATCTTTGAAGCCTGTCCAGAAAAAACTCGATTCTAAAGTGGATTGGTTTGGAAAATCCTTAGGCTACTTGCTTATGTTAGAAATTAAAGCTCTGGATGACATTAGGCACTTTTGCCCAAATGTTCAAAAAGCCAGGGGCTGTCTCCCCCAAAATACAACATGGCTTTCTAGGGACCCATGGAAAAGTGAAATTGAAGTCCTGTAAGGTTGGCTTGTTAGATAGAAAAATAACCACTACTCCAGCAGTATTCTCTGGGATAAAATTTGCTGAATTCATGTACTTCTTTAAATATATAGTTTCATCAAATTATTGCTGAGCTGTTGAATGTCAACCTAGCTTAAACCCATCATCTCTTACCTATTGCCTTCATAAAAGCAGCTTAACTTTTTCCAAGAATCCAGCCTTCTCCCCAAGACCTGATGTAGTGTGGGGGATACCTGCCAGCTCCGTGCATAGATCTTGATCATTAACCCAGTCGAGGAAACCCATACTTCTTGCCAATTGGTTCGGAAATCCTGAAAGATTGGGATATGCCAAAAGGATGCACAAGCCAATACACTCTATGAATTGGTTTATGAAGGGGCTTCCACTGGCCAAATCTGGCAGAATTTGAGTACCGGAAAGAATAAGATGGTACCAGAAAATAAAAAAGGAAGTCCATAAGGATTCTCAAAGAAAAAGGGGCGGAGAAGGGTGCAGAGAAAGCTCTTTACAGAAAAATGCCAACTAAACAGTTAAAAAGGAAGTATCATTTTGCAATCACCAAATGTAGTAATTGATTCAGGCATTTTCACCACTGGGTGCAAAGTTGCTGGGAAGCGAAACATTCACATGTTCTCAAAACAACACCTCGCTTAATTAAAAGAGGGAAAGGTACTATTACATGGATAAGCCTGACAGATACCACCTTAACCACGTGGTCACAATTAGCATTACCAGTAACAGGACAATCTAATGTTTTTCCTCATGTCATGGATGTCATCCAAGTGCACATTATTTGTAGCATTTTGGCCAAAATGTTTACACTGAATCTAATCATGAGGCAATAAATCTGGATTGTGAGACATTATATGAGACAACTGGCCTGAATCTTCAAAAAGATCAATGTCGTGAAAGCAAACACAGGCAGGGGACTGTTCTAGATTAAAGCAAACTAAAGAGACATGACAAGCAAATGCATTTCATAATCTATGATTAGATCCTGGGTTAAACAAACAAAAACTCTGAAAGCTGTTTTGGGGATACTTAGGTAAATTGAATATGGACTTCTTATTAATTATGGTTGCTAGATCAGTGCTAACTTTCTTATGTGATGTAATGACGTGGTTATGTAGAAAAATTCCCTTTTCTTTTATATTTGACTGTATTCTGTATGCTATACTTTATATCCCTGTGACTATTTTGTTGTTTGTTTTTTTTTTTTCTTAGCTGAGCCATCCTGCCACCTGTTGGCAGCTCAGCGGCAGCTCAGCTCAGACCGGGAATCGAACCAGCAACCCTGTTACTGAGAGCTCGCACTCTTGAGCGAGCTTTTAACCAACTGAGCCACTCGGCTGGCCCTCCTGTGACTATTTTGTAACTACCAATTGTATTTCTTAAACCTTTCACCTTTTTTACCTAGCCCCTCATCCCCCCTCCCATCTGGCAACCATCAGTTTCTTCTCTGTATCTATGAGTCTGTTTCTGTTTTCTTTGTTTATTCTGTTCTTTAGATTCTACGTATAAGTGAAATCATATGGTATTTGTCTTTCTGTCTGACTTATTTCACTTAGCACAATACCCTGTAGGTCCATCCATGTTGTCACAAAAATACTACAATGATATGCCAACAAATCCCAAAAGTCTCCTGTTTTCACTTGGTACATGCTGAAGCACTGAAAATTGAAATGTCATGATATTTATACTTATTTTTAAATTAAAAATTATATATAGATAAGTAAAGCAAAGATGGCAAAATATTAACAATTGGCACATCTAGGTGAAGGTTTTATGGGCGGACATTGTATTACTTCACCTTTCTGTAGGTGCGATTTTTTTTTCAAAATAAAATGGAAAAAATGGAGATCATAAATACACATCTATAGGATGAATAAAATATAAAACAAAATATATTAAAATATGAATGCAGTTTAACACATTTAAAGTTGTTTAACTGGTTTTCTAAATGGGACAAAACATTAATCAAAGTCCCTCAAAACTATGTACAGAGGGTGCCAAAAATATATACACATTTTAAGAAAGGAAAAAGCTGTATTAAAATTGTAATACTCAACATATACCAATAACAAAAGTTGACTACAAGTCATGTGTATACATTTTTTTTGGCATCCCCCATATAAAATAGAACCATAAGATTTGTAAAAGGAACATAGAAGCTTAATGGGGAACTGGTTTTCTGAACTTGTTACCTCAGTATATTGGCCTTTCAGAAAATGAGAGAGTGAAACTAGTTATAATCAACTTGTAATGGCTTGCAGAGTCAGAATCATCCCAAGAGCCAGTTTGTCAATGTGTTCTGAAAGAAACCTGGGACACAGCCAAATGCAAGCAAGGTCACCCTCTGACACAAACATGCCTAAGGAAGGGTGCAAAACAATCACATTGGAAATGAACTACACGAAGTCATGGTGATGTACAAGGAGAATGGCGTTCTGTGGGAGTACACTGTAATTCAACAGTCTTAATTAATTTTTAGAATCTGCTTTTTTTCCAAAGCTATGTAAACAGACTGCTTGTAATCGAAAATAGAGAAAATAGACAGTCAATGCATTTAAGGCTGATGCAAGCTTTTCGATGTAAACAGCCATTGCATCTGGTGGAGATGAGTTTTCCATCACTAGAAAGACATACTGTGTCCCAGAGAAGAC